GAAGAGGAATAGAAGGAAGAAAAGGATGAGGAAGAGAAGATAAGAGGAGACAGTAAAACTTCACATTCTGTATCATGTTTATTATATTGTCATGTAATCATTAAAAATAGAGAATGAGAGCTCTGCCAATGGACCTTGGGGAGGTGTGTATGAGCATTTCTACAAGGACTGTGAAGTGAGAAAGGCAAAATGTATAGAAGTTATGAAATATGATTCCATATTTGCATAAGAGTATCTTCATGTATGGACGTGCATGTGTATGCATGTGATATAAGTGTGTGAACACAGAAACACTGAAGAAGGATGCACAGTAGTTTGTTAACTTGTATCATATAGGTAAGAGGAGAGGGAATGAACACCTTTTTACTCTTCCACTTATAACAGGATGAACTTTTCCTGTTTTGTAATTAAGAAAATTAAAATTATTAAAATGTGATAGGCTTTAGATCTAACTTTACTAACTTTTCTCACAGATATGAAATTTCACAGTAAAGCAGTCCACAATGGAATCTATCCTAGGAGATCTCAGTGAAGAGCTTCATACTTCAGTACAAAGCAGTTTCCCTAACTTGTTTTAATATATATATTTATTTAGCTAAGTTGTTTATTTAGAGAGAATATTAATTAGATAATTTAGAAAAAGTGTAGTAATCTTTCTGATGAAGGTAAACAAATATTTATAAATATTTAAATATGAGTATAAGGCAGAATAACATTACAATAGATATTTTAGATGAATTTTCTAATGCTTATGGAACTGAACAAAACCATACTTACATTTATGAAATGAAATAGAATAACCATTATAAATTGTATTTAATGTTTACCCATTTAATTCCACTTAGGCTATAAATCTTTCATGAAAAGTCCTATGTGGGAATTAGTCACACCTTTCAAGAATAAATCATTCTCGTGTCAGTTTGTCTTCATCAAAATTTCATGAAGAAAAAAATCCTTGAAATCATGTACAACATCTCATTATAAATTATATTTGATCCAGGCAGAATAAAGAACATGAAAATAAATTTAAAAAAAAAGAATCATCTACCAACCTCAGCTGAATGTGAATGTGTATTTGGCATAGAAAATGTCCAGTATAGTGACCTGGTCACTGAGAAAAAAGCTAACAGCTAGCAATACTAAGACATTACTGTTCCTGCACTGTAAGATTAAACAAAATAATGACCATTAAAGATTTTAATAGCTCTTCTGTGAAAATGGTATGCTACTCTCTTGATCTGGAAAACCCCACAAAAATCATGCAAATCAAAAGGTTCAAATCTTGGTGTGTTTACTCTAAGAACACACATGAAACTGCACAGGCCATCAAGGGTATGCATATCTGAAAAGCCACAAAGTACGTTAAAGATATCACTTTAAAGAAGCAATTTGTGGGCTGAGGTTGTGGCTCAGAGGTGGAGCACTCACCTAGTGCATGCAGGGCCCGCATTTAGTTTTTAGCACTACATAAAAATAAATAAATAAAATAAAGTATTTTAAATATATATATATTTAAAGAAGCAATGTGTGCCATTCTGGCATTACAGTGGTGGAGTTGGGAGGTGTCCCCAGTTGGGAGGTGTGCCCTGTGTTTAGTTTTCAGCACTACATAAAAATAAATAAATACAATAAAGTATTATATATATATCTATATAGATATATAGATATATATTTAAAGAAGCAAATGTGTGCCATTCTGGCATTACAGTGATGGAGTTGGGAGGTGTTCTCAGGGTTTGGATGTAGATTCTCTGGTCACTGAACATATCCAGGTAAACAAAGCACCTAAGATGTGCTGCCATACTTATAGAGCTCATTAACCCATCCATGAGTTCCCACCGCCACATTGAGATGATCTTCACCGAAAGGAACAAATTGTTACTAAACCCACAGAGGAGGTTGCAGAGAAGAAAAAGATATCCCCAAAGAAACTAAAACAAAAACTATGGCATGGGAATAAATTCAGCATAAAATAAATGCAAATAATGTAAAAAATCTAATAATGATATTATAATAATTTTCAAAATTTTTGATTTAAACTTATATCCAAACAGTTTATTCAATAATGGCAATTTTTGACTTCTGCCTTGGTGGTGGCCAAATATTGATTTGCCATTACTAGTACATTTGGCATCTGGACAAAAGTGTATTAAGTGAATCACTTAATAAAAATATCATACTGGATAAACAGTGGTACTTTACTTCAAAAGGTCATGAGGAACATTAATGAGCATAATAATGACCTGGGAAGATATTTTTAATAAATGTCACTTCCTTTCCAATACTGTATGCACCACCTGCCCATTAGTAGAAGAAAACTCTGGCATTAATGCAAAAAAAAAATTAATGCTGAGGTTGCTAAGCTCTATGGTACAATAAGATATATTGGAAGAAAGATCACATTCATATAACATATATTAGCATATTGTTACAATTGTCCTATTTTATTATTAGTTATTGTTAATGTCTTATTATGATGAGTTTATAAATTAAACTTTATCATAGGTATGCAGGTATAGGGAAAAAACCATAGTGTATGTAGCTTTTAGGTCTATCCACAATTTTAGGCTTCCACTGTGGGTCTTGCAATGTATCCCCTGCAGATGAAGGTAGACTATTGTAGTACCCTTTTCCCTCACCACTTGTTCTGAATCAGAAATGGGCATTCTAAAAATGAACAATAAAAGCTTTTCCTGCAAGGCCTGGGATCATGTTTTAAGAAACACTGCAGTAATATAAAATTTTATTTTCAATTTGGTAATCAACACTCTAGGCTGTCTTCAGATTTTCATCAGAAGGGTAGTTGTGCAAATTGGCACTGTCATAAATGCAAAGCTTGAAAAAATTATGCTGTAGTTTAGTAAATTTAAATGAGAACAACAAAATAGAATGTGGCTCAAATCCCTAGTGTTATACCACATTTTTCTTCATACTGAATAGTAGCTAAGGAACTGGTAGACAGATCTGTGAGGCTACTTTAAAAAAGGTTTTAACTGGTTTTTTTTCAGGCTGGAGTGATATCATTTCTCTGTTTGTAGAGGGAGGATAGTGGGAGGAGGAGTTGGCATACAGTGATAAAGAGAGGATTCAAATCAGAACATAGTGGGCAATTATATTTAAGGACCACCGATCCAATCCTACACTGATTTTTCATGGCTTCCAGTTCCTAAATTTATTTTCAGTTCAATGAAAGCAGCCATCTAAGTGATGGGTTGGGACTCAGGTCAGGAGTAACTTTATAGAAAATCTTAGTTCCAATTTCATAAACCTATATATTGAAATAAAAACCCAAATGCAAACAATACATTTCAATCACGTTGTAAATCATTTTTCTGTAACAGTTCTTTCAATCTTCAGCCAAAACTGGAACTGGGACAAATTCCAGGCCAGGACAAAAATGAAAAATTCCATACTCCCTTTCCTTTGATTATTTTGCCTTGAAGTGGATACTTAGCAGATATCCACTGGGGAACTTGAAGTTTTCTGATTCACATTTTTTTACTAATCAAATTGACCAAATAATTTCCAAATCTTCAACCAGTTCGGTACCTTCATGTTATTAGCCCGGTGTACAGATTTCCCCTGTCAGAAACTATGGACAGGAAAGTGTCCTTAAAATGGAACTAAGGCCTGGCAATACTGCACCTTGTGACCCCAGAGACTGAAGCAGGAGGATTCTAAGTTCAAAGCCAGCCTGTGCAACTTAGCAAGAACCTGTCTTAAAATATAAAGTACAAAAGGGATGGGATATAGTTCAGTGATAGAGCAACCTTGGGTTCAATCCCCTGTAACCCTCTCCCCACAAAGAAAGTTCTTCCAGGACACGCCCTATGAGTGATTAAAAATGGTCTTAAGGGGAGGAGGAGATGCAAAACAGTGGGACCCTTTACTCTAACATATGGCTCCTGAGTGGGATTAACTTCTATAGGGTATAGTAAGAATGTGTGAACTTCAAGCTGGCGACCTCCACACCCAGGAACCACATGCCCTTAGTATCTGAGCTTAACTCTTTTTTTTTTTTTTTGTACTGAGGATTGAACCCAGGGGCATTCGAACACTGTGCCACACACCAGGGTCACACTGAGTTCTTAGAGTCTCGCTTTTGCTGAAGCTAGCTTTGAACTCCTGATACATCTGCCTCAGCCTCCCAAGCCACTGGGATTACAGGTGCACAACATGGCTTTTGGCATTGTTCTTAACTTTTTTACAGGAAAGCAGTCACTACAAACCTTCCAAGCCATGGCTGTCCAATACTGACTTTTTTGTTGTCCTTGTGGTACTGGGGATGGAACCCAGGGCACTCTACCACTGAGCCACATCCCTAGACTTTTTTTTTTTTTTTTAATCATGAAAGGAGAATCTCACTAAGTTGCTTAGGACCTCGCTAAATGGCGGAGGCTGGCCTTGAATTTGTGATCCTCCTGCTCCAGCCTCCAAAGTCACTGGGATTACAGGCGTGCACCCATCTGCCCTGCCAATATTGGCTTCTTTCCTTTTCTCACTTGGGAATTATAAACATGAAGGGCAGTAATAAGGACACATTCCATACTCCCTTTCCTTTGATTATTTTGCTTTGAAGTGGATACTCAGCAGATATCCACTGGGGAACTTGAAGTTTTCTGATTCACTTTCTTTATTCAAATTATTTCTTTATTCAAATTTCTAAACCTTCAACCAGTTCCTGTTATTAGCCCGGTGTAGTTGACAAGTTTCTGGAACATATTTGGGCTCAATATATTACTTACTATGTTTATACTGCCAGTCTTTGGAGGCTTGCTACGTGCAAAAGAATGACTTAAACGAAGCGACATCACTATCAGGCAGAAGTCAAGGTGCGCCCCGGCCTGGAATCGCGCGCTCCAGCGGTTTTCCCGCGCCGGCCCGGGCCCCGCCCCCGAGAGCCCGCCCCTTAAAGCGCGGGCACGACGCTCCAAACGACCGAGAGTCTGTGAGTGACGTAAGCTAGAAGGCCGGTGGGGGAAAACCCGGGCGATTGCTTCCGGGGCCATAGGTGCTTCATTTCCGGGAGGAGCCGGCACTGCGGGACCCAGCCGTGCGTAAGGCTTGTGCTACGGTGTTCGGCCTGGTGGCCTCGGTCGGAGTAAGCCAGCCATGAAGATTACCAGGCAGAAACACGCCAAGAAGCATCTTGGCTTCTTCCGCAACAATTTCGGAGTCCGCGAGCCGTACCAGATCCTGCTGGACGGCACCTTCTGTCAGGCAGCGTTGCGGGGCCGCATCCAGCTGCGGGAGCAGCTGCCCCGCTACCTTATGGGGGAGACGCAGCTGTGCACCACCAGGTGGGCCCGGCGAGGAGGCGCAGGGGTTGGGGATGGGCTAGAGGCCTGCGTTGTGAACCCTCGAGGTATAAAACGCCCCGCCCACGAGGAGTTGTTGATAAGTGGAGGCCCCCTGGCAGTTGGTCTAAAATCTTCGCTGTAGGCAGTTGTGCAGTACCCTGCGAATATCAGGTGTGGCTAGCCTGGCGAATTAGAACTAGTGTTTGGCTGTCAGGGAGACCTGGCATCGAACCTCGGCCCCACTCTTACCAGCTCTGTGATTTCGGCAGGGTTACTTAGTCTCTCAATCTCAAATTGCTCAGAAGCAAAAATAGAGATTATAAGTACTTATAAGATTGTCTTAATGTCATGTAGAGCATTTTTTCAGCACAAAAAAAAACTCCTTTAAATGGTTGCTGGTATTTGCATAGCTGGTTAACGGTGTGTCGTCCATCTAGTTCTTTACACATGTGTACACACAAACACAGCTTTTACTGTGTACACTGTATTTTTTGTCTGCTTTATTCACATCACACTATTTCATGGACAGGTTTCCACAGGTGGAATTTCTCAAGCAGCGCCTGAACTGGGTTGCAGATACCCTCAAATTTTTGATGCCCTTAGTCTTCAGTGCTGCCAGACAATGTCTTCAATAGCCTGGGCCTTTGAATTCATCGCTTCAGGCTATAAGCATTTTGTCCACTTAGTCTCTTGTACTACAGAAATATTTCCATTTAAAAAATTGTTTTGGGTAGGGGATTGAACTCAGAAGCACTTAACCACTGAGCCACATCCTCAACCTTTTTTATTTTGAGACAGGATCTCACTGAGTTGCTCAGCCTGGCTTTGGATTTGAGAGCCTTCTCCCTTAGCCTCCTGAGTTGCTACATTATAGACATGCACCACCATGCCCAGCTAGAAATATTACCATTTTAATAGCATAGTACCATGAAATTTAAAAAGGTTGAGAAGTTCTGCATGAACATGTGTAGTCTACAGCATTTCTTTTTTCAAGAATTTAACTTCTGGAAGTTTTCAACAACACAAAAGTAGAATAATGTAATGAAACTATCACCTAGCTTTTGCAGTCATCAACATGGCCAATCTTGTTGACTCGCCACTCCCCCTTTATTGATGGGTTTTTTATTTATTAACTATTATCATTGGGCTTGTAACATGAAGAGATAAAGAAGTCTTTTTAAAATCAGGATCCAGCTGGGCATGGTAGTGCATGCCTGAAAAAAAATCCCAGCAGCTCAGGAGGCTGAGGCAGGAGGATTGCAAGTTCAAAGCCAACCTGGGCAATTTAGCAAGGCCTTAAGTAACTCAGGGAGACTCTGTCTATAAATAAAGTATTTTTAAAAAGGCGGGAGTGCTGGGGATGTGACTTTCTGGTTAAATGCCTGTGGGTTCAATCCCCATTTCAAAAAAAAAAAAAAACCCTAGGATCCTGCTGGGTTTCTGTTCTCCCGACTAAAAGGCTCAGGGGTCACTCTAGTTAAAACTGGGCTGTATATGGGGTAAAGTTGGGAGTTCATAACCCGCTTGAATCAAACTGTGAAATATGATGTATTAAGAACTATGTAATGTTTTGAACGACCAACAATAAAAAAAAAAAAAAACTGGGCTAACTGGGCTGCACAAAATAACCACACAAGAGACACAAATACCTTTTTCTTTGCGGTCGCTGTGACAGTTCCTCTGACCTTAAGGGTCCACAGAAAGAGAGCAAGAGCAGGCACTGACACCTTTTATTGAGGAGAAGCTATTCATATGAGGCAAGGGGTCAGGTTTCAGGGGGCTGAGTCTATCTTCATGATGTCCACTGTCAGCAGGTTGACTGACACCTGGGTAGGCCACACCCAAGGACACAGTAAGAGAAGGAGACACACACAAGGCACTTCATGGAAGATTCTATCCTAAACAGGGCAAGGAATTATATTACAAAGGAACAAGTGAGCATAGCTTCACCCATGATGCTGTAGCAAGACACACCCATACACCCACCCTCGAACCAAAGAAGGTTGGGGAAAGCTCTGCCTTGTTCCTGTGACTGAGCGCCTCAGCACCCAGCCGGGGAGTGTGACCCAGTCACGTGTAAGGTTGGTCTCCCACAGGATCCAAACAAGATATATAAATAGCTTTCATTCTACAACTCTTTAAGATTTTCAAAATTATAACAGTTTATCCTTCCCATTTTTAATTTTTGACATGTTTTTGAGATACTGGGGCATGCACTTGCTAGACAAGCAGTCCACCTGCACACCTGCAATCTCAGCAGCATTGGAGGCTGAGGAAGGAGGATAGCAAGTTTGAGGTCAGCCTCAGCAACTTAGCAACACCTTGTCTCCAAAAAAAAGGGTAAGAAAAGGAAAAGGAAAAAAGAAATAGTGCAAGCTTAAACCTGGGAGATGAAAGGCATCACCCAAAATTTTTATAAGGAGACTGCTGAAATAGGTAGGACTAATCAGCCACTGATGGGATATGGGTAGGAATGAGGGTCAGTTATGATTTCAGATTTCTACCTAAGATGTCTGAAAAAATAATGATTCCAAAAGGATACTAAATCTTAGAGGAGAAATTTGCAGTTAGGAAAGTAGTTTGATTTTAGACATGGTGGATTTAAAGAGCTGATAGAAGGACAACCAGGAAATATTCAGTAAGTCTGCAATTCCTGAAACAGGTCAAAAACTGATTACTGAAAAAAAATTAAATCATCTTTCTTAAAAAACAAAATGAAACTAATGAGATGATAGAGGAGATGAAGCAAGGAAAAGTCTGGCAAGGACTGGGTAGGGTTGAGGAAACTTCTGGCTCATTGGTGTTCTCTCTCTCTCTGTTTTTTTGGTTAGTGGGAATAAGTGTCTGAATAGCCTTTCTTATTAAAATGCTAATACAAGTGGGTCTCCATAACTATGAGTGCACCATCTGTAGATTCAAGGAACCTTAGAAAACATTTTGACGGAAAAATTACATCTGTAACAAATGTGTAGAGTCTTATTTTTTTTGTATTATTCCCTAAACAACGTACTATAATAACTATATAGCATTTACCTTATGTTAGGTGTTAGGAAGTCTCTAGAAATGGTTTAAGGTATACAGGAAGATGTGTTTAGATTATATGCAAAGACTGTGCCATTTTATAGAAGAGATGAATATTCCCAGATTTTGGTATCAGTGGGGATCCTAGAACCAATCCCACAAAGATGAAGGATGACTGTACTTGGTTCTTCTATAAGAGATGCAGACTAGGGGATGAGAGAGGAACTAGAAATTTAAAAAAAAAATTAATATCACTGTGTCATTCCAATTTGGGTAGTTTATACATGAGACTTTGAGAAACATTGACTTATATTAATATGAAAATGAAGATTGAAAAGAGATTATGATTTTAAACATCCTCATGACTTGAGAATTTTTACTTTTCTGAGTTGAAAATATACAAATTTTGAGAGTATACACATTTGCACTTGAAGTAAAAGCCTGTCCACTGGTGGCGAGCAAGGGATCTGTTGTCAAACTGTTGGATTTATGTCTTGGCTTTTCCAGTTGCTTGAATTGGAGTGTGTTGAAATCTCTCAGAATGGGGTGCTCTAAAATAAGAATAATTTTAAAGTAACTTCATAAGTTATTTTGAGATAAAGCAAGAATTTATGTGAAGAACAATTTGAATGGGCTGAAGATATAGTTCAGAGGTACAGTGCTTGCCTAGCATGGACAAGGCCCTAAGTTTGATTTCCAGCACTGCAAAAAAGGGAAAAAAAAAGCAATGTGCATGCTGTCAGGCACATAATAAGTACTAAGTAAATTTTAGCAAGTATATTCTTTCTGCTTGGTCCATGCATTTTTGAAGTCTTTTAAGATTAAAATAGCTACCTTATGACAATTTCAAATTGTAATGGTATAGTTTTACATTTTAAAAACTTCAGTATTGTGTTTTATACTTCCTTTTTTTTTTTTAAAGAAATATCTTTGTTATAATTGTGGGCTACTAATAGCATTTTTTTCTTGTCTTTTTTCAGATGTGTGTTAAAGGAATTAGAAACATTGGGAAAGGATTTATATGGGGCAAAACTGATTGCACAGAAATGCCAAGTTCGAAATTGTCCCCATTTCAAGAATGCAGTGAGTGGATCAGAATGTCTGCTTTCCATGGTTGAAGAGGGAAATCCTCATCATTATTTTGTGGCAACACAGGTATTTTTGAACCACAAATCAATTTTAACTATTTCTGTATTTTTAAGTATTTGGAGCTTTTTGTAATCAGAAAAAAATTTGCTGAAAGTGATTTTAAAAATATAGATCTTCATTTTCAGTCAATAAAAGGAATTGTCATTTGAGGCTATGCAAGAACCTGCAGTATATTGAATTTGCTCTTGTCACTTAAGTTTCTTTTTTGAGAATGAGGACTTATTGATATAGAAATGTGTGATTTGTTTTAGGGTTCTTCAAGGGAAGATGGTCAAGAAGTTCATATGCACACTGATTTGCTTAAATATTTCCTTCCAGAATTATAAACTTACATAGAGGCAAAGCTGAATCTAGAATCCAAGTCTTAATTTCTGTTACTCTTAGCACTTTTCTTCCTTCCTTCCTTCACCCTTGACTATTGACAAATCCAGTTCATACTTCTGCTACTTACACTGCTTGATCTCAGTTTGTGTTTTCCTTCCTTTATTATAAAATATACCCTTAGTGAGACATACTGATTTAAAAAATATAATTTTTGTTTTATTTTTAGTGCACCCCTCATTAAGTTCTTAGGAGCGTATATAAGTTACCTTAATTGACATATTTGAATTAAATAATTCTGTTTTTCTTTTTAATAGGACCAGAATTTATCTGTGAAAGTAAAGAAAAAGCCTGGGATTCCTCTGATGTTTATCATTCAGAACACTATAGTCTTGGACAAACCTTCTCCCAAAACAATTGCCTTTGTTAAAGCGGTAGAGTCAGGTCAGCTTGTCTCAGTGCATGAGAAAGAAAGTATCAAGCAACTCAAACAGGAACAGGGGTTAGTGAAAAATCCTGAACAGAGAAGAAGAAAAAAGCGCAAGAAAATAAGTGGCCCCAATCCTCTTAGCTGTTTGAAGAAAAAGAAAAAAACAGAGGACACAAAATCGCCTGCTTCTAAAAAGAAAAGAAAAAGAATAAGAATCCGGAACAGATCTACCTCCAAAGTACTTTCTGAGAAGCAGAATGCAGAAGGATAATGAATTCTTTCGATACTTTTAAAGACATTCACGTGTGAAAAATTAATTTACTTTAAAGACTATATTTATGATTAAAGATTAAACTTATTTTTATAAATGAATAATGACCCATATGCTTTTTCCTAAAATAACTTATAAAATAGAGTAGTTAGGTTTAGGTATGATAGAGTGTACTTTTTTCAGGGTTTTGATAGAGATTTTTCATTGTAAAATTATTGTTTCCTATCCCTCCCAAATGTTATATGCCAATGGGTTTTAAAATCAAACAGTTTTGGGCTGGGATTGTGGTTCAGTGGTAGAGTGCTCGTCTAGCACGTCTGAGGCCCTGGGTTTGATCCTCAGCACCACATAAAAATAAAGTTATTATGTCCAACTACATCTAAAAAATAAATGTTTAAAAAAAATCAAACAGTTCTAAAAGGCTTGTGACAAAAAAAAGGAGGCAGTGCCTCAGATACACAGAGGAAATTTCCTCTTTCAACTTTAGAGTTCACATTTCCAAATTATATGGATATTGCTACCTTCTATCCATTCGTTATTTGACCTACAAAGAATGGAGATTGTGTTACTTTGACTCCTCCCATTTTTCTGACACATATATTTTAGTTTTTGTACATCACAAATTCCATGTTTGTATTATTAACAACTAGAGTTAACAGACTTTTCAAAAATGTTCTCTTCTGAACTAAGTGGTATGCTATGATTACATTTGTTTATTATACCATTATTTCTAATGTTAATGTCCTCATTTTTTTTTTTTTTTTTTTTTGCATCTGACTTAATTTTGCTGTATTTGCCATTAACAATGTAAAGGACTTCACAGTATAGTTTTCCATATGGTTATTACCAGGTCATTCTTTTCCCCTGGATTACTCAGGTACCAATGTGCAAAGTATTCTCTTGAGCATTTCCTTGTCACCTAAGTATTCTTTGCCTTTATCCAGAGGATTTTGTCACATTCTTTGCCTACATTCTTTGTTTTATTCATCCATATTTTTACCCTAGAGGAGCACAGAGTGTATAGGAAATATATATTTTGATTTTTTTTTTTTTTTAATTTGCAGTGCTGGGGATTGAACCCAGAGCTGTGCACATACTAGGTGAGTGCTCTACCTGCTGAGCTATATCCCCAGCCCAGTGTTTGATTGGCAGTGTGTCTCTGTTATCTTTGTTGCACTGATAATCTAGCAAAGTATAGGATTCCTGGTTGAAGATAATTTCATTCACATTTCCTTAAGAACCTCTCAATTATAAGTTGCTAGGGGAAAAAAGTCCCTTTACCTTCTTTGAGTTCCATTTGTCCTGTGGGTTGATAATTTTCTTTTAGATGTAAATGTTAACTTCGACAGCAAGAATCCCAAAATAGCATTCTAAGATTGTATTGTTCAAAGTGTACAAAGATTCAAATGTTTTTGCATTGTAAGATTGGATGTATAAAGTTATTGGAAAAGTGAAATCTGATCAACAGCTCCTGACTTGGCCTTGATGTCACCTTAGAGCAGTGGTTCTTAATCTACCTTCAGAGCATCATGATGAGGTACAAAGTACATCATGAATAACTTATTAATAGCTAAACTGACATTTCTTATATGTGAGAATTGTAATTCCTACAGAAATGTTATTTTCAGTTGAGGTCAAGGATACTTTGGAAGTGTCCATTTCAGTATGCTAAATGCATATGTTTTAGGCTTTCATTCTAACAAAATTATCTATACTCATTCAGCATTGATCATCTGTTAATAGTCTGAACTAGAACTGAAGAGCTAGGAAAACATGTTTATGCAGTAGTTATTAAAATATTAAAATCATTAGTATTTTGAAACTGGTTAATTACATATTTTTCTGTAAATTACCTTTAAAGATATATTTTAAAGTATCTCATGTCCTTGTACTATAGTTCTTTAGTGAGTGGTACCGTTTTGTTACCTCCACTAAAATCTGAATCACCACTTTCTCTCTAAAATTTGGTGAAGGGAGCCCTGGTACTATACATATGAGATTATAACCCATCTTGTAGTTTTGGGTAAAAATGTTGAGAACCTTTGCTTTAAAGAGTAGTTACTAACTTTATTGGGCATGACACTTTGGAACATTGAAACTTTACCAACCTAATAAATAATGTTTCTGAAGACCATTATCTCTTATGAATAATCCAAAATAATTTGCAGTTATGTTTAAACAGGATTTGGTCAGATTCCCAACATTTTTACAGCCTTTTGGCCTCTTCTCATTCCCACAGAAAAACTGAAGTTTGAAAGGCAGAATTATTCTCTTCTTTCTCTTTATATGTGCAGAGTTAGGAGCTTGTATTTTATGTTTGCATCTAGGTAAAGCAAGGTGGTTGTGATTTGACAAGCTTAATAGTTTTTCATGTGCAAGTAGAAAGAATAGTCTGAAACATTTTATTGTAGTATAATTTCCATTAAGAATTCTTAATTTAGATGTAAATTAAAAAAAAAAAAAAGGATTGCTTACACCAATTAAATTCTGTGAAAGTCCTGACCAACCACAATGCATCTCAATTCGTTCCCAAGTTCTTAGTATGTGATGTTACTTAGATCTTTATTTCTTAAAACATTTCCATCCAAATATTCCCTGATTAAAGGATCATGGAAGTTTTCTCTTAGAACGTCATGAAATGATTACCCACCTCCCAAAATTTAAATAATGCTTACTTACTATCCCCCTACCCCTGCCATGGCTAACTAGATTCCCCAAATACCACTAGTCCACATTTAAATTTGTTACTTTGACTCAATTTAACTAGTCTCCTATTCAAGTGTGTGTGTGTGGTGGGGGGAAGTTATGATGATCAAGTGACAAATCAACTGCATTATAGGTCAAGTTTCAATCTAATAGGCTCAGTAGTTTTGTGAGCTCATCCCTTGTTTTCCCCCAGTTCCAGAATATAAACTAGTTAACAGTTGGTTGTGTTCCCATATTGGCGCTCTCTCATTTATGGACCAAGGGTCATTAGGGTAGAGAAAGTTAAGTGGAAACTGTTGATTTCTCCTTCCTGCCAGATAGTGACAAAAGATACACACAATGGAGTAATTGCCAGGATTACTATGATTATCACATACTTGAATGAGGCGAAAGTGTTTATTCCTATTATGTCTTCACTTATTGGGCCTGGGCAGAAAGCAGATGGACCTTAAAATAGGACTGGATTATTTCAACATTAATTAGAGGTGGTTTATTGGTAGTTTTTCCAAGTGTAATACCTTTGCTAGAACAAATCAACCTGGTATGGAAAATGCTACCTCTCCCTCTACCAATTTGCAAGGACCACCAAAAGAACTTTCCTTTTCCTTGACAGGATCAATAGTATGCCTTTGGTCTTGCTCCATGTGTATGACAGTTTACTAGCTCAGCCATAATACAGTCTTCAGAAATTTTGAACATCTTGACATTTTGCAGAATATCACACTGGCCCACTACATCGATGACATTGCACTATGAAAGTCCTGAAATTGGATTGGATGGGCAAGGAGTAGCAAGTAGTTGCACTGGAAGTAGCAAATGAGAAATGTTTAATCAAGCTTTATAAACAAACTGCAGATGGGAGATAAACCCTATGAAAAAGAGGGCACTCACCTCTGCTATGTATACGTCATTTACAGTGCCAATTTGGAGATGGTGCTCTGAAAGTATGGAGGCTCGTTCTGCAAGATGAATATAAGCTTTGAATCAGAGACCAATTGTTATGGATTGGATTTGGAACGTTCCCTTAAGCTTCATGTATTGCTGACTTGGTCCCCCTCTAGTGGGGGCAATGGTGGGAGAGGTGGAAACTTTAAGGGGTGGAGTCAAGTGGAAGAGATAGATCACTGGGAATGCGCCTTTATGGGGTTTATTTCCCTGCCCTCCCTTCTGTCTCCTGGCTGCCATGTTGCTCTGCTGCACCCTACTCACCATGCTGTTCTCCCTCACCACAGGTTCAGAAACAGTGGAGTCAAATGACCAAAGACAGAAGCCTTTGAAACTATGAGCCAAAATAAACCTTTCCTCAATTCAGTTGTTTTTCTCAGGTTTTTATTACAACAACAGAAAGCTGACCAACACACACAGATAGTGTATCTTTCCTATAAGAGATATAGGTTCAGGAATTAAGGGGTAGAACTAGGAATAGCTCCTCTCACTATTACATTTTGTAACCAACTACAAACATCAGAAATAATTCCTTCTATCTAACTGCACCCTTGTACCATTGACCATCCTTTCCCTGTCCCTTTCTCCTCACACCCTTCCTAGACTCTGGTAACCTCTGTTCTATTCTCTACTTCTTTGAGATCAACCTTTTGGCTTCTTCATACAAGTGAGAACATGCAGTATTTGTCTTTCTGTGTCTGACTTATATGTAAAGCCAACACAATTTCCTTTAGATTCATCCATGTTGCTGCAAATGGCATAATTACACCTTTTTAATGACAGAAGAGTATTCCATGTGCATGTGTACCACATTTTCTTTATCTATTCATCAGTTATTGAACTCTTAGGTTGCTTCCATTTCTTAGGTATTGTAAATATTGCTATAGTCAACATGGGAGTACAGATGTCTCTTCAACAAACTGATTTCATTTCCTTCAGTTACATACTCACTAGTGGGGACAGCTGCATCATATAGTAGTTCTATTTCTAGTTTTTTGAGGAAGCTTCATACTGTTTTCCACGATGACAAACTTATCTTTCCTCACTCTGCCTTGTGCTGCTGGAGCTGCAGCTTTGTAAATCACAAATCTCTGGTGGCAGCTACTCCTCATGAGCTTCTGTCAATAAGGGGTTCTAGAGTCAGGACCTGGAAGGAGGGTAGAGGAAGAAAGGCTTGCTTCTTCCTGTTGATTCTGCTACTTGTGGCTCTAGTGAGTGTCACTTCTTCATTCGATCAGCAGCCCTTTCTTACCAAACTGTCCCCCAAATCCAGCTCAATCCAGTTCATAACACTTGAAGAACTAGATTTATCATCTCAACCCACCTCCCCATCAGAGAACCAGACAAACCACAAACTGGTTGGAGCCATTCTTGTGAGATTTCTCTGGTATCTGGCCTGTGGGACCCTCCTCTGAGACGGGGGACATGAGCATGGATGAGAGCCTGTTTTCTCAGAGGTTTCAGCTCCACAGGCCTCCTTATCCAAATATCTCAATTTTAATAATTCTAGCCCCTCCCCTTTTCCCTTTGACTTAAGGGGAGAACCTTCTTCCAGCAGTTGCTACCTCCAGAATTCTTGATGCTTTTTTTTTTTTAAAGCTCTTTGGTTATTCAGTGAACAATTTTATATCTAACTAATGTTTGTTTATATTGAATTCTCTTTGCTCATGTAACTGGCGTGATTTTTCTCTTGATCTAACATAAGGTTTCTAATTGGCCAGTCATGCTTCCTGTGTCCATTCTAGAGCTTAGAGCACAGGGTCAGCTCTCCCTAAAGAGACTGGATAAGGGTGGTCAACTCAAAGAAAAATGGGGTACTATTACCAAGAGAAGCATAGGGGGATCAGGAAAAAATCACATCTGAATGTCAGGTCAGTCTTCAAAAATTATAAACTGTGTCTCAAACTTTCTTTCTCTTTCTAAAACAAATTGAATTTGTTCTTTTTAGTCTTACATGAGAGTAGAATGCATTTTGACATATTATACATATATGGAGTATAACTTCTCATTCTTGTGGTTGTAAATCATGTGGAGTAATTCTGGTTGTGTATTCATATATGAACATAGGAAAGTTATGTCCAATTCATTTTACTCTCTTTTCCTATTCACACCCCACTTTCTTCCCTTTCATTCCCCTTTGTTTAATTCAATGAACTTCTATTCTTCTCTCCCCATCCCTATTGTGTGTTAGCATCTACATATCAAGAGAACATTCACCTTTGGTTTTGGGGGATTGGCTTATTTCACTTAGCATGAAAGTATTCAGTTCCATCTGTTTACCAGCAAATGCCATAATTTCATTCTTCTTTATGGCTAATGTTCCTATGTCTCAACCTTTCTCTGCTCCCCAAAAACCTTCTAAGTTGTGAAGGTGAAAAGATAAACCACAGAATGGGAGAAAATCTTTGCAAATAATATATAATTTATAGCTCATAAAGGGCTTCCATCTAGAATATAGAAAGAACCACTGTAATTCAATAATAAAAAGACAATATAATTAAAAATGGTCAAACAATGTGAATAGACACTTCTCTGAAGAAATATACAAAACACTGATAAGCACATGAAAAGATGCTCAGTACTTCTAGTCATCAGGGAAATGGAAATCAAACCACAACGAGAAGCCATTTCACACTTAGTAGAATGGTTATGATCAAACATGAAACAGAAATAACAAGTGTTGGAGAAGAGGTGGAGAAATTGGAACCCTCATATATTGCTGGTGGGACAATAAAATGGTGCAACTAGTTTGGAAAATGGTCTGGCTGTTTTCCAAATATTCGAACATAGAATTACCACATTATCCAGCAATTCCATTTCTAGTTATATATCCAAGAGAAATGAAAAGAGATATCCACATAAAACTTGTACACAAAAATTCATAGCAGCATTATTGAGATACCAAAAGTGGAAAAAAACAAATGTCCATCTGCCGCAGTCTGGCTGGGCACAATTCAGGAGCCACTTGTCAAAAGAAACTAACTTTATTTTTAGAACCACAAATGCCAAACAAAACAGCTCCTCAGGAATAACCTTCAGAGCCCAACTGCCACCACTGGCTTCCCACAAGCCTCTCAACCTCCCCCACTCCTCCTGCTCTTGAGGCCGATTGGCTGGGTGGCATGGGCGGAGCCAAAAAAAGTCCCCCAATGAGCAGCTCCATTGTCTGAAAGGGCGGGGAAATAGCCCAATGAGCATCACCGCAGAGGAGCCAATCAGTTGGCAGCTAGAAGTTGCTGGGGCCGCTGTGAGCCAATCATCAGCTGGCAGCTGAAAGTTTGCTGGCAGCTGGAAGTTTGCTGGGGCCCCTTCGCTGTGGCTCTCAACATCCATCAACTAATGAATGGATAAACAGAAGGATGTGCAATGAAATATTATTTGACAATAAAAAGAAATGATACAATATAATATGTTTGAACCTTAAAAACATGCTCAGTGAAAGAAACCAGTCACAAAGAATTAAATATTCTATGATTAAATTTC